CTTTTAAAATTATTTGTAATCGTCTCTTACGTAGACTCTTAAGTTATACATCAACACACACACAATAGCAACAATCTGTTTCGTCAAATATTTATTCGATGTTTTTTTAATTTTAAAGATCCGTGTGGATCCCCCTGATCATCCGGTGGGTGTCGTAAGAGCCGACTAAGGGAGCAAACTGCGCAGGGACAACAGCATTGCAAAGAGAAGGAAAACTTGAAACAAACCCTATACCAACCCGTCTGGCCAGCGTGGTATAGTAGGCCAAAACCTCCTTTGTAAAGAGAGGCCTATGTCCAGCAGTGCACTATTAAAGGCTGTTGAAGATTTATTTTTTATTGAACCTAATTTTTGTTGGTTATTCTGTAATATATTCTATTTAATTTTTATGTCCTTTATGACATTGGTCGTCAAGGCACAAGGCATAAGCTAATAATAGAGCTGCATCTTATCCCAGGCCCTAATATTAATAAAGGCAATGTCATGAAAGCATATGGTTTTTATCTATATATATCTATATCTAGATGTTTCGTGAAGGGTTATTTGGTAAAAAAGTTTTTTTTTTGGTTTCTTATGTTAAGAGGTGCCATCATTTTGGGCAGCCATAGAAGCAAATGGAAAATTATTTAAAGATACAAAAATTTAAGTTTTAAATGTTGTATAACTTAAATATTTTATAACTTTAACGTTCATAAATTTATTTTAGAAAATGTGGATGATATGAAAATTATTTAAAAATGATGATTATAATATTGGAATGTCAAAGAAAGTTTTACAAATTATGAAATTTAACTTAGCTATTGTTTATAGTTATTAAATGTTTTATAATTATTTGACTCTTTTATAAAATCCCACAAGTTAAATTTTTTTTTTCAATTAATTTGCATGTTTTTTTTATTTTATTTTTTTTTGACTTTGATACGTCAAGGGATAAGTAATTTATTCGATTATTAATTTGCAATAAATAAATCTGAATTTGAAAAGTTTCTAATAAAAAAGACAGGATGCTGATAGGCTAATAATGAAAAAAAATGTTTTTAAACCATTGGCGCCAAAATCTTAAGTTGTATTAACGTACATAGAGGAAAAAAGGTTTTAGTCACGCGTATTACAGGGTTGTCTGAATTAATCACGAGACATTTTGGTGTAGGACGCTGCAATGCAGACCTTGGACAAAGCTCCATAGGGTAACAACATACAAATAATTCCGAAGGGGTAGACAGGCGTATTAAATGCCCACATTATGTCAACTATAATTTTAGTTTCACTTATGTAATAGGTGACAAGCCTATTGCGTTTGTGACTCCTGAGTTGCAGGCGTTCATGGGAGGCGGTGGTCACTTTCCATCAGGTGATCCGTCTGCTCGTTTGCCCCTTCTTCCACAAAAAAAAATAAAAACATATTTATTACACCCAGACACATAACAAATGATAGTGTTCATCACACAACATTTGTCCTGGGTGGGAATCGAACCCACAACCGAGATACACACGTGAATAAAACCGTTTATACTTTTCCTTATGGTTCCTATGGTGGTTATGATTTAAAAGCATTTTGTCATATGGTATAGTTTTCTATTTTTAAGTTTTTCATTATTTTTAGTGAATTTGTATAAAAAGGACCTATTTTTGAATACATGTCTAGTATAGATTATGTAGAACTATTATTTTTATTAGGGTTTAAATATTATGATACTTTAAATATTTGGTGGCACGATGCATGTATATTTAGGCTTTGTTAGTATTTCCGTGAAAGCACTACTTTAAATTAGGAAGTATTGTGTTGTGGTACTTTTCTGTTTTAAAAAAAATTGGAATCAGAATTGGACAACTATTCATACAGAAATTAACGCAATCAAGTTGTATGAAGTCTACAAAGGTTCTCGAAAGCCCGGTTCTGTTAAGGTATGAATTGCCTGACGTTTCGACCAGGTTGCATTAGCTTGAGTGACCAAGAATTAGTTCAAAACCGTTAGTTTCAAATATACACTTGCCACACATAGCTATGCGTCACCCTGGTTCGGATGTCATAATAAAAGCTGTCCCTATAACCCTCCTAGTTTAAGTCGGTTCGATTTTGACATCAGCCCAACGCAGATCTTGGTGGGATGACAGTCCGAGGGGGTTCCCACACACACAAAATAAGGTTATGTCTCACCCTAAGGTTCCCTAGAAGATAATGTCCACTTTATGCAATGTTTTTGCTTCAATTATAAATAAATAAATAAATTTACTTATGTAGTGATTTCACGAAGATACTCATTTTTCACCGAGGGCAACACTTGAAGCAAATGTATGCAGTTATAGTTGCTAAGTAGCTAATAATTAAAAAATAAAACATATGACCCGACTGCGTAAAAATGTATGGTTACTTAAAAGAACAATGGCAGAAACATATATACCTAACTTAAGCGTTTAAAAAATGGACTCCCAGTAAACTTAATAAAAAAACTATGATTTATCATTACACCACCATGTGTTGTATAAGTCTTATAAGAGATAGGATATTTTTGAAGAACTCATTTGATCTAAGTACGTAATGTCAGATTCGTCATCACCTAAATGCGCGATGGCGTTATTATATTATGGAACGTTTTATCGATAATATCGATTTTTATAGTTTTGGTGGAAATACCTATGGAAGGTTCACCTTTTATGATTATAAATCTGCCCACGGGTTCACTCGTACATAATTAGTACTCAACATAATTAGAAGTAATCTATACTAATATTATAAAACTGAAGAGTTTATTTGCTTGAACGCGCTATTCTCAGGAACGACTGGTCCGATTCGAAAAATTCTATTGGTGTTTGGTAGCCCATTTATCGAGGAAGGTTATGTAGGCCTATAATATATCATCACGCTAAAACCAATAGGAGCGGAGCACCAATGAAGAATGTTTCAAAATCGTTTTTTTTTTTGGAGCTTACGCTGCGTAAACGGAAATAGCTTCTTAACGTTCGTATAATTTAAAAATATTTACACCTTCTACGTAAAGGAAGTCGCGGGTTAAGTAAACGTTAGCCAAACGTAACTATTCCAGCGCGAAGTCGAGGGCAGAAGCTAGTTCAGAATATTTTTGACTCTTTTTAAACGATTTTTGCTACACTCAATTAATAGAATATAGTTAAGAAATTTTGCGACGAAAACAATATACTGCACAGAATGATGGTAACGGCACATAAATAGACATACAGCGATATTTTCAAGATTTCTATTGTTTTACAAATATATGTCAAGCAAATAACCTCCGCCCTTTTAGAGAGTTGGCTAACACTCAACAGCAAAATAGGCTTGTTTACGAGTAATAAAAAATTTTTTCGGACATTTGACACACAACGCCATCTAGTTTCAAACAAAACATTGACAATATGTTAGTACTTAAAATCGAAACATTCAAAATCCATTTTTTTCTAGATTTCTCTCGCTAGTAATTTTGTTATGAGATTGGTCAAGTATAAATTCTCAAGTGTCTAAGGCATTTTTGATATTTAAACGCTACAATTTCACTTCAAATAAAATTATGTATGGGGACCTGCCATTGTCCTTTAGAAAGTGGCAATTTTAATTTTTATAATTTTCATATACCCAGTGACACACATAATTAAGACGAACCTAACGCGAAAATCCATCAAACTGTTTAGGCGTGCCAAAGAAATGTACATACATACTAGTTATGTGCCGGATCGTTAACAAAGTATATCCGCGGATACGAATCCGAATACGGATATTTGGTGTCAACATCCGCAGATTCGGATACGGATACGGATCTTAAGTTTCTTACTCAATCGGAGCCCGTGACCTTGATAGTTGTCGCCACTTGGAGCTTTGCCGTTGATATTTAAATATTTCGTTACTTTAATAAGCTAATACAAAGATGTTTGATTGATCTCATTATGAAGATAGCTCTTTCAGTACCTACGACCTGCCTAGTTGATTTAGTGTAGTACGATAAATGATTGCAATACAAAGGTGCCAAATATTTGTTTTCAGAAATAAAAAGTAATCTGAACAGAATTCAATAGTGTTTCATAGCTACCTAATAACCATTATTCAGGGATAAATTTAAATTTACTGAAAACCTCTGAAGTGCATATTAGTAACATTATAAACAACAACTTTTCTTCTGGACTAACACCGAAAACGAAAGAAAAAATTGTTTCTCCATACAAACTAACAACATTTGATTGGTCATTTGAATGGAGGACCAATATTTTTTCATTTTGACGTTGGCCAGAAAAAAAGTTGCTGTTTATAGTGTTACAAACACACACCTAAGAGTTTTACAGTGAATACAAAATCACCTATATAGAATTTCATCTATGTAATATGTATTGAAAGATCCGCCAAAAAAGTCACGGATACGGATACGGTTACGGATCTCTCTTCTCCCTTGGATATCCGCGGATACGGATACGGATACGGATATCCGGCACATCACTAATACATACATATATAAACTTGAAAAACCATGACCCTTCTTTTAGCGCAGTCAGGTAAAAAGCTTTATTATATATACTTATACAATTAGAGTGAATTGACAAAATTATTAATATGTAATAATTGACAAAATAATAGCGATGAGGTAGAAATGTGAATTTATATACTTGGAAGTACAAACCGCAGAAAGAAGTTTTCTCTCTATATTTAAAAAACAAGGCTACAAAATAATTACTTTAAAAAAAAATCATGTATTGTGATAAACTCTACTTCATTCCTTAATTTTCCAACCTTAGTGGTAGTATTTTTTTCTTCAATTTTGAATGGGACCAAATAGAATAAAAAATATAAGAATTTTTCCAAATCAGTTTAGCCTCGAGATAGAAGCCGTAGAGTGACATTCAGAATTTAAATCAAATATGTCGCCTTAAGATTGATTATTAAATTCGACCAATAACAACATGATTTAGTAGGTACTTTGGATACAGTATTTTAAAATTATATAAATTTCGAACTCTGACAAAATATTAACTTACTAAAGAGATTGCAAATAAACGTTTTAGCCATACATTTGTCTGCCGACCCACGTTGCGGTAAAAGTCGTGAATATTAAGAATATAAAGCAGGTATGTATAGCCGGGGACACGCCCCATTCACCTGTCTTATGGTATGCGAACCGACTGGAGGACTTTGCTCGCCTGAAAATACAAAAAAGAAAGTTAAAATTCAATAATATTATAGATGTGTGGGACATCTCTATGCGCTATGGTAACCAGACTGCTGATAAACATACTTATATATTTCTAAATACATACATATTATAGATAAATTACATCCAAACACAGAACAAATCATCATGCTCATCACAAAATTATTTGACTTGGGTGGGAATCGAACCCACGACCTCCGGCTTAGCAGTCAGGGTCACTTACCGCTAGACTGACAGGCCTGTCAAATGACTTATAAATTCATCGCGGGATGGTATAGGGGGACGTCCCCTAGTGACGGACACATAAGATTTTCAGGAAATAAAATTAAAACTACATCGAGAAATATGTATTTATTTATGAATTACTTAAATTAACAAAACATAAAATCAAAATCAAATAACAAAAATACAACTTCTGCGTAAACATAGTTTAGGAATGTTAAATAAGTTTTGGTAAAAAAATAAAGGATTTTGACATTGGCACCTAGTGCCGGACGGGTTAATCTTCAAACCCCAAGCGCCGGACATTCTAAAACATTGTGCATCTATCACATATGTAGCCATCTCCACATTCTGGAACGTCTGCACATGCTTCATGAGCCCATTATTGGCATCTGGAGCATTGTATCCAGTCCTCGTCGTGGTCCTCTAAACACACTACACAAGTCGTTTTTTTTATATTTGATACTTCAGTTAGCGGCTCTTTTTTGTTGTCGTTATTGCCACGTCTTCCTTTTGCCTTCGCATCTTTGGTTTGTTTACTCATGGGGAATCTTCATAGCTTCAGCCAAGTCGTAAGCTAACTTCAAAAACCCGTTTTTCATCAGGGGCAGACATCTATTAGACAAATCTCTTATGTGGTCCACTAAAACTTGCTCATACTCGGGTGAGAAGGTTTTTGTGAATCTACCAACTTTTGGTTGCAACGTGACTTCTTTTCCACTGCTCAATGTCGTTACTTTATCATGTAGAGTACTTTTTGGAACATTGTAACGTGACGAAGCTGCCCTCAAACTCATTTTTTTGGACAAAATCTTGTTCATCACAGTTTTTAAGCTTTGCTGATCCCATTTTCCTTTTTTTTTCTCTCTTGCATTTTCAAATATTTCTCTCCTTCTATCCTGTAAAACAACAAACAATCATCATTACAATAAGTACAAATGCTTCATGAAAAAGGTAACCTATAAACTGTCCGGTGGTAAGGGACACCTTTGTGTCCGAAAGTAGGGGACAGGAAACGTCCAAAATTACGTATTTCATACTAAAACTGTTTAGGTATTTAATAAAAACTTTCACAATATAATAATTATAATGAAACACTGTCTTTATTAACAAATAACAAAAACAATTAAGGATAAAACCATAGCAGTAATACTTACTTGAAATTTACGTGACGCAACGCTTTCCCCACCAAAAACAGCAATTCACCGCTTCCACCACGACTGTGCGCCTCACTGGCAAATCGCGTAGCGTGATCCTGTCTCGCTACGTTCCCCCGCACCCCTTTCACCGATTTATAAATAGATCGCGTTGACGTTTGTCGAAATAGTATGAGTGTCCGGCGCTAGGTGCCGTCCGGCGCTACGGGACTTCCCTCTACTGTGATACTAATTTGGATGCGTTTTACGAATTTTGGGTAAGTTCTTAAAACTGTCGTAACTCGGGCAAAACAATAGTTACAATTATTTTAAATTATAGTTATTTTTTTATCGATCCAGTAGTAAATAATAAATTATATTTATTTTTGTGAATAAATCTTTACAGATATTTTTACAAGTCGGATTTTACAGCTAGAAGGAGCCGGTATTTCTTAAGATTCACTCTGGGAAGAAACGCCGAAACAAACCACAGAGGTGTCTTTTTCTTAGACCGTAAACAAAGTTAAACCGTGCGAGTACAGTATGGGGTCTGGATAGGCCTCAGGATAGTGTCAGCCTGTCCATAGAGAACGCAGTGCGTTACGACGATGAGGAAGGACGCGGGTGCGGTACGTGCCTCGTACTCGGCGTCGTCGGCGAAGGTCCCGCTGACAGTGAGCAGCTGGTACTGGCGCGCGCGCAGCGCCCCCGCGCCGCGCCGCAGCAGGCGCAGCGCCGCGCCGCCCGCCGCCGCGCCGCCCAGCGACACCTGCCGGACCTGCACACGCAACACCACCACCCATACTATACACGGTGATTTTGAAAGCGTTTTGGAAAAGAAAATTTTGAGTTATTTATCAGTAACAGAAGCTATATATAACGTTAATTTAATAAAATATATTTTTTTTTATCATCAAAGTCGATATTCATATCGTTTACAGAGAAAAAGTCAGAACCAGTAGTAGTAGGCTATTCAATCACACGTAGGTAAATACTACGAATAGAAATACTATGCATTTTAATATCGAGTCACATCACATCGTATTCGCCAATAAAAACAAAGCTACCGAGTTGCGCCGGAGTCGTCCAACCAATGACGTCTGCCCCGTAGGCGCATGCGCGTTGCTCACCTGTCATCGTCAGTCGGTCAGTAATACCATAACATCGTGACGGCACGCAATTGAAAGCCCTCAAATTCCCTCCACACCTACCATCTTGGCTGCAACCCAACGTCTTCTCGACCACGGACAATTTCGTGCGCCTACTCATGCGCAAGGTCAAGGACGTTTTAATTATTATTCGGCGGAGTGTAGTGCGTGCATACCTGGACAATGAGCTTAGTGATCGGACTTAACGCCCCTGGATTTTTTCTTATGGTCGGATATAAAAAGACTTGTTAATACACGGGAATATGAAAGCCGTGATAATTTACGCATTGCGATAGTGGACGCTTTAAAGTGAAAAGTGATAGAGACACATTAAGAAAATTAAAAAACTATTGCATTAAACGTGGACGTTTGTGTATTGAATGCAGCGGACTCCATTTTGAGCAGTTCCTTCGATACAGAGAACTGTAAATAGTGTAAATAGGTATGTAAGTTAATTATTCTGTAGATAGCTCCGATTTTTTAAATACGCCTGAAATATTTATACCTACAGTCCGTTGATAAATTGATTTGTTGTGAAAAGAACAATCGTGGTTAATAATCGAAAAGAAGTTTAAATAAAATAGGTATTTCTGACGGTCCTAAGCCCGTGTAAAGTAAGTAAGTAAAGGACAAATTGGAGTCTATCTACGTAAGTACTCGCTAGCTCGCGCCTATAGGTATAGTTTTGTCAGCTGCTGTTAGCGTCGGCGGTGCGCAGCGGCCGCCGAAACGCCCACGGACGTGTTTCATTCATTTAAGATAATGAATGAACGATCAGTCCATTACTACTTTCCAAGTCGATCGAGTAAAAATGAATATTAAAACTGAAACTTTTTTTTAGACAACATTACAATTGATTTAATCATTTTTATTGGTACTATAGATGATTCCAAATTCAAATATTTCGTTTCCAAAACGCTTTCAAAATCACCGTGTATAAGCGCACACTCAATGAGAACCCTCGAAAATCGTGAAATCTTGCAGTATAGGCAACGAGATGGATAATAGACGTCTTTATCTCTTTCTAGACGAGCTCTATGGTCAGCTGGGGATTATGAGGGATTAATAAGTAGTCAATCGCAGCTTAACTAAACAGAAATAAAGGAACCTATCGGGCATCCATCTTTTTCGTTGCCTGTATCCCTTCCGGTTACAGGCAACTGTACCCCGTGTTCTCTTTATGCTTATATCACTATGGTTAAAGCACTTGACAATTGTTATGTATGTGTTTAAATAAGTGTTTGACTTTACGCGTCAACTCGTCTCGACTTCCACGTTCAGTAAAATAAAAACATACTACAGCGCCATCTAACGGAACACTAAACGTTATTTACCAAATTCGAGATAACCAGTAACGTTACCATAAAGATATAAGCATTTTTAACTCTTTTTTTTCTCTATGTACCCCGTGTTCTCTTTATGAACGTTACTCACTGCATAAAAAGAAACAAAAGAATTGCTTAACTTAACACCAGTTTTTTGCGAGGCAGTGTTAGCACTCCGGTCGAACCAGTCTATTTGTGCCGAATCATGACGAATGCCGAATGCATGTTACCGATGCTTATTTAATTCTCCATACCGTAAAAAGATTTCAAGTAACGTTACTTACTTGAGCGGGAGAATGTGAAGGGTCTAGCACAAGTAACGTAGCCTTGCCGTCTTTGTGCTTCTCGTAGCCAATTATAGTTCTTGAATGACCTGAAAAATAATAAAATAAAATATTCTTACACATTTCACACACGGCCGTTTGATCCCAAACTAGGCAGAGCCTGTACTATGGTAACCAGACCGCTGATAAACATACTTATATATTTCTAAATACATACATATTATAGATAAAGTACACCCAGACACAGAACTAATGACCGTGCTCATCACAAAATTATTTGTTCTGGGTACGAATAGAACCTGTAGTAGTCAGGGTCACTAACCACTAAACCAACAGGCCAGTCAAAAATGATGATACTATTAAAAAAAAAATTAGATATATATAACAACTAGACAACGTATGATGATCGAATTGCGAATAAAATCTTTTTTTATTTAATTTATCCAGTTTAACTTGAGCTATTTGACTGCCTCGATGGAGCGTGGTAGCGTATGCGACTGCTGTGCTGAGGTCTTGGATCCATTCCCGGGTCGGATTTTTTTTGTACGATCTCCAAGTATTTGTTTCGGAGTTTGGGTTAATTGTATTTAAGTAATCTATCAGTCAAACAAACTTTCATAGTACAAGCTCCACTTAATTTGACACTAGATGGCGCTGTCAGTAAAAAAAAAGGTTATTTATAATAGCGTATCCATGTATAGTTTTCAACTTTTATGAGAAAAAAATCTCTGGTTTACATGTAATTGTCCCGAAGAAGTAATTAAAAAAAAACTGTTTATACAGATCAAAAGAAGTAGGCGAGTACATAAAGTATAATTATTGTGATACTAAATTAATCAAACATGACTAAAAACTAAAACGTGATCCTATGGTCTAAAGCCTAAATTTCGTTACCATTATTATTTATTAGGTAGCGTCACCAATTTAAAAAAGTGCACATACAACGCACTACGCAGTATATTGTAATAATAATATGTGGGGTAATTTTTGGGCAATAATTAATTCCGATTGACCCAACTCCTGAACAAGTTGAATTTGATCTTCTGTTATTCTTACCCTGCACGAAGCAGGATGTCAAAAAATATCTCAAGACTCATTTAAGTGTTCCCCTCCACGGAAATCTTTAGTAAAAGGCGAAAGATTTATACGTTATGAAGGGAAACCAGAGTTAAAGGTAAATTTTGAATATCAGTTCATATAGCAACCGCGGTAACGAAACCATAACGTGATACAGAAAAAAGGCACAGCGCCATCTATCGAACTAAAAGGAGATTAATTTGCACTCATTTCAAAAATGAGTCTTAAGTTAATAAAATCTTTATCAATTCTCAAGCAGATCATTTTATTTTTATTGCATGCACAGTAAAAATGTTTTAACATCTGTATTAAGCTCAAACACTTGAAAACTTAAGGCTAACCCTATTATGATGTTCTAACTAACGTTTAATTGTTTTGATCTGTAGGCTGTTGAGACTGTTTGCCGAGTCCCTTCTAATCCCTTTACATTAATTTAAAACGGGATATGAAGAGTAAGACGAGATAAATGTAATTTTATGATAAATTATCAAATTTGTTGAAAAAAAAAAAATCCTTAAAGAGTTAGCTTGTTGTTTCCGTATCCGGCCTGGCCTTATGAGCTAACCGTAAACGGTATTTTGATAAAATATATGCGAAACCGTGACCGAAGGTGATAATGGCGAATCTAAACAAGATTTATTATTTTAAAATGGTTAATTTTTTATTTAACTACCAAATAACGACCTAATAAAACCAAAGTTGAATCATAACAGATAGTAGTTACTTCCTACAATACTCTAAAAATATGAAATAATTTCAAACCCATAATCGTTTTTGGCATAATATTTTTATTCTGTTCCTGGTTTTTAACTTTCAAGTGCAAAAAATCTCTGCTTTACATGTAATTGCCCCGCAAGAAGTAATTTATTTATTTATTAATATCATACATGGATGCAATGGTAGAGGCCTATTATCCAGGTCCAGCAGTGGACTGCGATAGGGATGATGATGATGATACATGGAAAACTTACAGCCAGAAACATCAGTAAAAATGACAGAATTTATCATTTGCGAGCCAATTTTAAGGTTATTGTAATAATAATATGTAGGTAATTCTTGGGCAATAATTAATTCCGATTGACCCAACTCCTGAACAAGTTGAATTTAATTTCCTGTTATTCTTACCCTGCACGAAGCAGGATGTCAAAAAATATCTCAAGACTCATTTGAGTGTTCCCCTCCACGGAAATCTTTAGTAAAAGGCGAAAGATTTATACGTTATGAAGGGAAACCAGAGTTAACAAGAACATCTTGAATCTCAGCTGATATAGCAACCGTGGTAACGAAACCATAACGTGATACAGAAAAACTGCGTAGCGCCATCTATCGAACTAATAGTAGATTAAATTACACTCATATTTAAAATCTGGTCTCTTTTAGTTAATAAAACCCTTATCAACTCTCAAACAAATAATTTCATTTATTTTGAATCTGCGGTAGCTGCCAGAAGGCGAGTTGTGATTTGTTTTTAATATTGTTCTAAACAATTTTTTGGGTTATTTAGTTTTTCTTGCATGTATTTTATTTATTACTAGCCTTCTTTTCTTATCTATTTAGGACGTTGCTAGTTTAGATTTAAATCTTATTTAATTCTAATTTGTTCTCTGCCGCACTAGGAATATATCCTTTATTGTGGGGGACTTTACAAACATACATAAAACGGACACAAAGAACACATAGACTCAGAACGACAATTTGTGGTTCACACAAAGTGTCTTCCCATGTGAGGATCGAACCCACAACAGTCAGCTTAGTAGGAAGCGGCGTGGCGACCACTTTAACCACTACGCCATCCGTGCAGTCAAATATTATTCACCATTACCCGTAAAAGAATAAAATTGTTTATCAGCGTTATTATTCTATAGTATGTAGAACTTCTAATATTTTGAGAGGTCCAAAATAGTTTAGACTATACATTGTTACGTTTTTCCTATTTGACACATTTGTATTCTTTTGTTTATAGATCAGATACTTATATCAATATGCATGAAATCGAGATCAGACACATATCGATATACATAGGTTTCGAGAAATTACTAATCAGGGTAATATTTCGTGCACTTGGTTTTTCAAAAGGTTCAATTTGTTTCATTCATATTTTTCTTACAAAAATATCTACTTAAAATTAGTTTTAAGGCTAGATTCAGGACTGACACCTTTTAACATACGGGCTTTACAGTTTGAGGAAAACCTTACTGCTGAAGAAAAAACTTACTTTCATGTTATTGGCCCAAATATATTAAATTAGTGGTATGTTGTAGTCTTGGGTAGTACCACGTACGATGTACTGATAGGTACTAGTACTGGGTATTGTACTAAAAGTAATGTTTCAGAAAGGCAGCTGTTAATCGGACATTTTTCACTATTAGTACAAAGTATCAACTTCAAGCCAGTACTAAAACTATCTATTGTTTACTCTATCTACTAGTGTCCACGTTCGTTCGCTGTGCGACGTACTATTAATGCTCCGCTTTATTGTTTCGTATTGGTAAACAGTGTGAGAGTAAAAGGGACAGCGATACAGGATGTACTACGAGTACAATACGTTGGGTTGTAAAGTATGAAGGAAAATCAAATAGTATGCTTAAAAATTTAGTGTAAAGTAATCTAAAATTTCGTATTAAAAGTGAAACTGTTAGGATTTATGGGATTCAGCTTTCTGAATCTGAAGGGATAACACATTAAAAATAATCAAAAACTGTGTAATTATTTCTATACTGAAGAAAAGTAACTGCCTAATACAAATATATTTTAAAAAAGAAAAAGAAAAAGCGCGGTCTGCCAAAACTCTTACACTTTTTTTTTAAATTACGTATTTTAATTTATTAGTATTCCGTTTCATTAATGTTAGTAATATCAATACAAACGCTTAAGTTTTCTACTTCAACTAAAACTGTACTAATAGTACTATTACGGTGTGCTAGTACGTTGTACGAATTGTACTAGTACGGTGCGAACCTGCAGATGTCCGATTAAGCACAAGACTAGTATGTTGTATTTTGATCAACATGTTAAACAGTTTTTTCTCACTATCGCCTTGAATAAATGATTGAAACATGCCATTTTGAATTCTTACCCTGCATGAAGCAGGGTGTCAAAAAATATCTCAAGACTCATTTGAGTGTTCCCCTCCACGGAAATCTTTAGTAAAAGGCGAAAGATTTATACGTTATGAAGGGAAACCAGAGTTAAAGGTAAATTTTGAATATCAGTTCATATAGCAACCGCGGTAACGAAACCATAACGTGACTTTAAAACGCTGCATAGCGCCACCTATCGAGTTGGCATTAAGTTTAAAAAAATTACTACATGTAATATTTGCTATAAGAAAATTAGTTTTTGCAATGCAGTATTAAATTATTTAAAAAGCAAGATCTAATTTGTGTGTTAAATTACAAAACTGGGATCAATGAAATTAAAGGTTTGGTTAAATATTTAAATTATGACAATTGATGATTCCTATCAACCGTTTCTTTATATTGCTTTTTTTTTATTAGGTTTAAACTCCAATCAATAAATTTTCAAAAAGGTGAGTCTTATATTGTCGTTACCTTGATGCTGTAAGTATAGGGGTGCCTTGAAACCATTGGGGTCTTCTTGGAAGTACTTGAGCACCCAGTCGAAAAGCGCAGGGTGACTGCCATCCGCACTCGTCGGCTTGTGGAAGTCGATCAGCTGACATCTGGCGAAAGAAAAATATGTCTTTACTTAAGAGGACTATGCTTCGGCAGAAATGTGCTAACTCGACCGAAGTGAAACTACAAAACTTTCTTTCTTTCTTTTTTTTCTTTTCTTTCTTAAAAAGACAACTCCCGCACTAGGAATAAATCCTGTGTCGCGGGGGGCTTTACAAACATACATGAAACGGACACAAAGTACACCCAGACTCAGAACAACAATTTGTGGATCACACAAAGTGTTGGTCCATGTGGGGTTTGAACCCACAACACTCGGCGTAATAGGAAGCTTTAACCACTACGCCATCCGTGCAGTCAAACAACTCTTGTGTATTTAGTAATATACATAAATATGTTTATCAGCAGTCCTATTATCAAGCTACAGGCGGCCCAATTTGGGATCAGACCGTCGTGTGTCATCAACAGCCCCTAAACAGTCCACTGCTGGACATAGGCCTCTCCTTAAAATGGAGGTATGAGATGTGTAAACTTATTATTTAAAATTTAAAAAAATAGTTTATCAATATGGTAAAGTTGTTGAGATCCTTATGACTTCTTCGAACGACATAGTAATTAATCCCTACTCTATATTAATTATAAATGGTTTTTATTTATTACGCTCTACAGTTCTAGATAATTGGCATTCGTGATACTATTTGTAAGTCTAACATGTCATTATTTTATATTATCTGTGGGCATTCTGAAGTAGCTTCATAAAGTTATTTTAAGTGTAATATTTACTTTCGATCAGATACCTATGCCTATGCAGAGTAAAACCACGGTACTATTATAATACAGTACTGCAACTTCATACAAACGGACGAAACGCGAGCTATACCTACGCGCCTCGATCTCGGGGTGCGCTCGGGGCGCAGACAGTCACGGCTGTACCGCAGTGTCGAACGGACTGCGTGTTGTTTTTTTAACAATAACCGCGCGATTTTTTCTCTAAAAATCAGTTAATATGACGAGTAGGAAATATTGTGCTGTTTTTGGTTGTATGAATTCGTCAATAACGCATCCAGACATAAGTTTTTTTAAATTACCTGGAAACTCTGAAAGTAAGACTATAAAATAATTTTACTTACTAGTACGTAGGTACATAATGTGTGTCTTTTTAATGGATAAGTATTTCCTTTTATCTCACGAAAAAAAAGGTGTTTGGATGAATAAATAAAGCAAATAGAGTAACGGAAAGTTATTGAGACGAGTGAAATAGGGAGTTACATGCGGTTCTGAATGAATCATGATACGGTAGGTACCTACCTACTTACGCTTGTGTTAAAACTTCGGTGCATGTTTGTTTTGTTACTTTGCATAATTCAAAAAAAAGAAAATTCTACTTAAAGACGTGGTATTTTATTATTAATAATATATCTTTATTATCTGTGTGTATGAATAATACTAAAAAAAAATTGTTACCGTCTGTGTGTCATTAGACAGTTTTCGAAATTTTCACAAAGTGTTTCTGCTGCTACTATAACAACATATACCACTAAAAACTGGTTTTATTTTCTCGGTATTAACAACAACAGCTAGACTCATATATAATATTTAGATGTTTGAGGGTTGTGATTTTAAAACATTCGTAGTCAGCTGTTCAGCTTTTTAATAATTAATTAATTGGTGACCAAAGAATTTTTGTTTTGAGTTGTTGCGAGTTGTAGGTTATAGGTTAGGTAATTTATAGAGACGTTAATTAGCTGAGATAAAAAGTTACTTACTCGTCAGCTGTTTCTTGCATTCTAGTTGAGTAGGTGGTAGGTGTTGGAGTTTCTAAGGATTGGAGTTTTGTAACGCGTATGGAGAAAGCACATTTATTTTATTTTATAGAAGGATTTTTTTCGGTCGCTAATTTATAAGCCCGATTGGTTTTTCAAACAAAAAAATGTTTTGACGGGACAACGTCTTATAAATTGGTTTGCCGGGTGACACTTCAAGAAACTGCGTTACGCTCCGCTCACGTTATGCGCTCACAATGAGAGCGAGTGAGAGGCACGCGTCCCTTCCAATCGGGCATGGTTAGCCCGCCTAAGAGCGAGAGAGACAGACATAGTCGTTGTCACGTAAAACTTTCGCCCGTATACCGACTTTACAGGCAACCAATTTTTTTTTTTAAATTAAATCTACCAATCAAAAAACAACACGCATTTTTATTGAACAATTCCTATTCAATATACAAAGTATTTTATTTATTTATATAAAAAGGATATTTACAATCACAAATCTAAATAGAAACAGAAAGTAGGCAAATATCACTAAAATGCTGGAGACGGGCAGACCTAACGAATGTTTACGTACCGCGCGGCTGTAGGCATTTATTTCTATCATGCGGCCGAGTTACAATACTGTATTATAATAGTACCGTGGTAAAACCATCAGTACCAAAAACAAACCCTTAAACCATTACCTACCTTATCCTTAGCGAAGAGAGTACAGTGACGACTTCGCAAGCGCCGATCCACTTGCGTGTGTTGTACAACTTTGAACCTAATTGCTCCGAGCCCTGTAAATATATTTATTTATTTAACTTTTTGCACAAACAACAATTCATTTTACAATGGCAGACTTAATGCCGCGGGCATTTTCTCACAGTCTACCTTTGGGTGGTGGTGAAATGTCTGAGTAGGTGCACTAGAAATTAAGTTTTATATGTAACGAGATAATAATAATTAAGGATATGGACAGAATTAGTCTGACGGATATACATACACACATACTGAGATACACATACATATATACTTGCTGAGTTACATACATACATATATATACATATAATATACTATATAATTTTTTTTAAACGATCTTATAAATGAAGCTAAAATATCTTTAGGGCTATATTTATTTACTAGGTAAATTTTAATTGTCCTTTCTAAAATAGAAACTGTTAAAAACTAGATACACTGAAGCTATATACAGCTAAAGACAGCTAACGCATTTGTCTCTTCACATCGACAGCCTTTAATAGTCCACTGCTGGACATAGGCCTCTCCTTAGAAAGGAGGTTTGGGCCTACTATACCACGCTGGCCAGACGGGTTGGTATAGGGTTTGTGTCAAGTTTTTCCTTCTCTTTGCAGTGCTGTTGTACTGCGTAGTTTGCTCCCTGAGTCGGCTCTTCGACACCCACGGGATGAATTGGGGTGGTGACACTCCGTATTCTTAATCCGTCACCACACGCATTTGTCTCTTACTACGATTATATTCAAATGGCATCGCAAAATTCATAAATATAATATCATTATGGCTCTTAAGTTGCATATGCCGTAAAAAATATTTATGTATATAATATATTACTCTCTCCCTAACTTTGAAAGAAGAGGGGGTGTCAAAGTGATGCATAAACAGATTTGTCTCTTGAGTTATAAGTGTATATGAGCGGTTTCAGTCCTAAATGTATTTGAATACCTGAGTGTCGAACCCCAACTGCCAAGCCCGCTCGACCAGCAGCTGCAGGCGCGGGATGGAGGGTACGCAGTCGCAGTCCCGCTCGCGCTCCGTCGTGCAGCTCAGCAGCGCGGCGTACTGCGGGTGGCGCATCAGGGACGATAGCACCATTTGCATGTTTCTGGAACATGTTCAAAATATTACCATTATTTAATCTGAATATCAGCTCTATAAACTTCCTTTTAGGGAAGTAAAGACTAAACATTGACAGAGCAAGGAAAGGTCGCAAACCTCGTCAGATTATAAAAAATCATGGTGTTAACCCAAAATCGAAGTCAGTAAAAATGTATATTAATCTACAAATAAATAAAATTGAAGTGTCTGTTTGTAATGTCATAATAATAGGTTTTTTTTTCATGCTCACGCGGTTATTTGCACATTACCCATGCCTAAAAACATTTTTTTTTGTCTGTCTATTTGTTCCGGGTAGTCTTCTAAACGGCTGATCCGATTTTGTTAATATTTTACTACCAGACTATATAATGAGTAACTTAGGCTATTTTTCCTCTCACAAAACCCCTATAAAATTTAGGCCGGTCCGGCTTTTCAAATTCCACACGAACGAAGTCGCGGGTATCAACTAGTATTATATATAGTAGCAATCATAATAGCTGATGAAAAAAACACACACAATGAAAAGTACACTTATCGATTGTACCATGAAAGCTAAAATAGAATACTTATATACTTTTTTTTTGTAAATACATACATATAATACAGAGAAAACACCTTCGATCAATAATAGTACTAGATTCAGTATCAGGAACAAAAATAAGTCGCTCATGTGGCCACGTTTTACACACAGGTAAACATCTACATTTCTTAGAAAAGAGTATAATATTATTAACAACTTCAGATCATTATAAACCTTAATGCTTAAACATAACGTTGATTAACCATTGGGAAATATATATATGTAAGTCCTTTCATCGGAGAAAGGTTAGAAGCATTAAATTTAAAATGTCGCTAAAGTCATTCGTACAAAAATATTTATTCCAAAAAGAAACTTAAACTCTACGCAATAAGGTTAAAAACACAATGTGCACAATTTCGTGCTTATTTTATAGTGGAACTAGACGCAGTTCTTGGTATTACATTTCAATGCTGAGAACACAGTAAGTATTGAAAGACGTAGAGTTGCAGAATATTTTTTTTTTGTATGGTGGCAAATATTTCAACCAATTCAAAAAAGTAGTAGATAGGTACTATTTAACATTGTCGCTATTACAAGGTAATAAAAAAAAGTAAAAACAAAAGTGAATCAAGAAACGTGTTTTCGGCGTATTCTTTATACAAAGTATTTAAAATATTTAGTAATGTTTCATGTATTTATTTATTTATTGGAACGCCAACAGAGGCTACACAAATACGTGCATGTTAATTTGAACACTGAAAATACTATATAATAATAATAGGCGACCACATCGTTCGCTTATAATATAGGTGGGAACAACAAGTTTGATAAAGTAAGAAGAAGAATCAAACATTTAAAATTAATCAAAATAAAATATAAAAATAATAAAATCATAATAGAAGTATCAACATGAAAATTCAAACAATAAGGGCACAAAACAATACACAGTAATAAGCACAATTCAAGACAGCTTGTTATAAAGCTGTCTTTTGGAAGTATTTTTTATTTGAGCGGTTTCTTTTTTACAAATATAATGTAATCTTACATCAATGAATTTTTCTATAACTAATTTAATTAAATATATTTTATGGCTGTGTTCGTTTCCCCTAGAAAACACATCCTTTTTAATATACGCGTTTAAAACATTTACACATATAAAGTTTTTATCGTACTTTTTTTGCATTGATTTGCCACCACTCATGCGAAGACAGTTGCGTATAAAACGTTCGGTTTTCATGCATATCTCAAACACGCCGTTTGAAGCATAACAAAAACCACCCATGTCTCTTATATCTATTAATTTGTGGAACCATAATTTTTCTTTAGCCCATAAATCTATTTTACAGACAATTTTCTTAACAAGGCTACTGACTACAAAACCAGAAATGTAACCTACTATTTGCGGAACAATATCTGAAGTTGGATTATAATCAATTTTTTCGATCAGTTCAGTGCAATTTGTCTGATATTTATCAAAACTCTGTTCTATTGATCTATTTTTTAAAATTTCTGCAGAACTTAAATTTTTCTCCTCGGTTTCTTCAAAACGGTAACCTATTGATAAGTTATTAATTTTGTTGAGGGATGATGATCCAGATAAAATAGGTATGTTCTCTATGGGTATACAATTTCCGGTAAATTTAGAGCCCAGTTCTAAATGAGACAGCAGTTTTTTAAAACTGGCTTTAAATTGTCGAGTGTTCGGATTATTGTTATGTCCATTTTGACTCTGTATGTTCTCAAAAAATAGCTCGACATGGTCTTGGCTGAGTTTATACCTTAATAAAAAAGAAAGAATGTCAGTTGCAACTAAAGTTTTATACAAATGAGTCAGACTGTTGATGCACACTAATAGTCCTAATAATCCAGTATTATTCTGCGTTTTGATAAGGGGCACTTTTTTGGTTGAAAACACAGTTCTTATATCGGTACCGACTTAAAAGAGTTCTTTTATTTGTAACATTAATTGATAATGACAATAAGTAGTCTTTAATTTGGGACAACAACGACATTATTTTTTGTGAATTACCCTTATTCAAAGGGTGTTTGAATCCAAAGTCCTTAAGATTTCTAGTATTTAGGATATCAAAAAGATCATTTAGTATCTTAATTAAATTAAATAAAATAAATTAAATTAAATTCTACTGTGCATTCTGATTCTCTAAATGCGGGAATATTTAAGGTTTTATTACAAAAGTCTATAGCTTTAGCAACGCTTCTACTAAGAAGTTGCGTTGCTAATTTCACATTCATTATTTGATTTTTAAAATGGACATGTCGATGTGAAAGTTTGTTCGCCAAGTGTAAGCAATTTTCTTCTTGCAGGTTATATAATTCCGATTAATATTGCCATTTAATAAATTTTTTACCAGTAGTATATATAACTTTCTTAGATTCGAAGGTCGCATCAGTTTTAACATATGACACGCGTCCAAAAATACAACAACATTATAATCAGCACTGGGGTGTTTGAAATCAGTTTTTAAAGTCATCCAAAATGCAACCCAATGTTTTCATTGTTGTAATATTGCTTTTGCAGCCATCGAACGTCACAGCACGAATTTGCACACCAATTTTATCGCATTTTTCTAAAGCCATCTTTATTAAATAAAATTTTTTTGCAAAATCGAAAAATATTGAATCATCAATGGATTTTTTCTTTTGAAGCAAGTTAATTATGTTTTTTAATGAACAATTTTTCTTAGTTAGTCGCTTATTTACTTTTTGTAAGTTATGTATTTTCTTAGTACAGTATCTATAGTTCTGCGACATGTCGTCAATTTCTTTTTTAAGTACCCTTTTCTTGGAGTGTCACAAACAGATGTTAAATCTGATAATGATGCTTCAGGAGAATTTAAACCAATTGCATCAGCCTGAGGCACGTCACGTATTTCCGTAGAATCATTAAAACTTAAAGTCGCTGAAGATGTGACCTGTAAAGAAACACACAGTTTATTGAAAACATTTTAAAAATACCTATTTAATAAAAATACCTACAGGAATAGTTTTTACGAAGTTATAAGTTTTTTTACATAGATTTTTACAAAATTTACCTGAATTGATAAATCTTTAGTCGATTCTGAAGATTTAGCTGTTTGCACTTTTATTGGTCCGTGAATCTAAAAAAAAAGTCATAATCAATTTACTATTTTATCAAAACGTTATCTATGTATTTTAATACTTAATTAAAATTAGTTACCTGGAATTGCTGTTTTTAGTAATCTACGCCTTTGCGTGTTTCCAGTTATGTCCAATCTGTCAAAATGAATCGAACATATTGTCGAATTTTTATAAGGGTTGTACATTTCTTCTCCTCTTTCTTTCGCTATAATAGATACCCATTCTGCACAACGAAATGGGTCACTAGGAAATCTACAAACAAAAATAACAACACTACTCCATGCATTCCCTGTTCAAGAACAGTCGATGTTTCATACAATAATTGGTGCGTTGTAGCAAACATTGGCCAAACAATTATAACATTCGCTAATTGAATTTTATTTACAGTTTAATTCTGTTTATACTTATTATATTATGAAAAAACACTTATTGATATTAACTTACCGAAAAAAAGATATTCCTTGCAAAACCTTGGTGTTACGGTGGTTATTTGCACAGTTTTTGATCGCGCACTGCGGCATTTTGACGTCCTATTGTTGGCTATGATTGGACTGTACTAATTTGAAATAAGACCACAAACACTTTTGTGCTCTTATTTTTCGGGCCGTTTTTGAAGCGCTTATCGGAAATCTAGTACTATTATTGATCGAAGGAAAACACCCAAACTCTAAAACAAATATTTGCAGATCACACAAACATTTGGTCCGACCTGGGAATTGAACCCGAGGCAGTCAAATTTGGTTATGTTTTTCGATTGTATGTATGTAAATGTATTTGGCAAGCTCTGTAGTCTTGATGGATGTTTGAGGTTTCGAGTGTATGTATGTATGTATATTCATTGTACCTAAACGGCTTGATAAATTGAGAAGTTTGAGGTGTCGTTACATAATAATAATAACTTCACATTTCACACACGGCCGCCTCATCTCAAATTAGGCAGAGCAGAGGTGTAGACGACGCGTAAGTGAAAGTGACACCCCGGTGTTACTAGCACACAAAGGCGACGGTGAGCACTTACTTGTTTGCCACCTTAGTAGCAAACTCGTCATAAATATTGTGTCGCATCCTTATTTATATGTAAAAACTTATAATTAAAACATTTGAAATATGTATATCTATAATACGGGGTGGGCGCGCTAGTGTGTAGTTAGCTCGTTCAGATAGATACATTTTTATGAGGCCGGTAGGTACCGATTACCCATGTTTGCACCCCAAAAGTACTCAAGTCATCCACCGCTTTTCATTTCTAAATTTCCTGGTAACCACGCCACCATACATCACCTACAAGAGGTAACCAGACTATTGATAAATTAGTGATTTCAAAAAATACCTGTATCCGCAACCCCATCCCCTGTCACCGTATGTGCTGGCGTAATGGTCCACTGCACTACACAGGTATGTCTTCACTATACTTGGGTTCTGAGCATTTAGTTGAGCTATCCTCTCTAGGAGACCTGAAACAACATTGTACTTTGGTTAATTGGGTTATGGAAAATCCTAAACCCATTTTTTGTTAAGGAATATACAGATAGAACAATGAAGAACAGCGGAAATAAATAGAAACCGGCGAGAGAACTATCATAGCGCGATGCAGGATTAATGTTCACTCTGTAGTTTAATGTGCCTTCGTAGGATGGCGTTGAAGTATGTGAATGTTTTTCGTCATATGTGGAAGTTGCTACAGTTTAACGACTTGTTTTTTTTATTTATATTTTATGTAAATTAACCTATTTTTTATTCAATGAGACTAAATCCTCTGTGGGCCATTATTTCTTTACAACACATGAATTTTGGCTTAGACCTACATATTAAACTAAAAAAAAACTAGCTCGAAACTGGCCCATCCTTTTATCATCATCATCATTTTTCATGATGAAACAGACAGATTAAATTTTATGCTCAAAACCAATTTTAAGACTTCTACTACTTTTTGTGTAGTGAGTTTAAAGAGAAGTGTCCGTGTGGTGACGTATTAAGAATACAGAGTGTCACCACCCCTATTCATCCCGTGGGTTTCGTAAGAGGCGACTAAGGGAGCGAAATACACAGGACAACAGCACTGCAAAAAGAAGGAAAACTTGACACAAAGCCTATACCAACCCGTCTGGTCAGCGTGGTATAGTAGGCCAAAACCTCCTTTCTAAGGAGAGGCCTATGTCCAGCAGTGGGCTGTTAAAGGCTGTTGATGTGTGATGATGTGATGTGAGTTTAAAGGGGAAGAACGAAATTGTCAGTGCGCCATACCTGTGGTACGTGAGGATCCAGTATCAGTTCCTGAGGCGGCTGCTCTTCTTAACCCTAGACTACGCTCATAGTACCCTGCTACTGACAGTGCTCCGCTGTACACAGCTCGCTTCAGGCTGTTCGTCGCTCGGTGGGTGTAGCCCTCGTCATCATCTTCCTCCATACCATACTGAGCCTGGAATCCATAAACAATACGACTCAATATCATGAAAAATAGTGAATGTTTTTTTTTCTATATAGATACTAATAGTCTACGAGCCAGTAAGAGATTTACAAGATCAAGTTCCTCTCAAGTGATAACTAGTGGAATGCATAAGAAAGTTGCAGCATAAAGCAAGCAAGGTCTCAACGCAAGGAAACAGTCCAAGAAAAAATAATTCAATCACTTCCTCAGTTTTTAGTTAGGAGTAAATGATTAAATATTTTTTATTTTCTTCGTATCTAGAGGGGGGGAGGGAGGCTATGGGCGGCAGGGGCTGCTCAGACACAGAACCGCAGCTGACGTGCACGAAGCTTAATGATGCTGTACCCTGATGTATCTCACCAATTTATTGGTCAAGAAGAAATAATTGACCAAATTTTTACCCAGTCCCCGGACAGATGAATTAATATGGCAATGGTTAAGATGGCAAAATTATGAATTAGTATATACTATATACATTTATATTGCAGACTAACCCTTAACAATTGAAACTCATGCTCTTCCCGATTCCTTTGGGCTTCTCTTTCAGCTGCACTCAGACCTGCTGCTGCCTCGCACTCCTCGCCCCTTTCAAAGTGCTCTTCAATGTGTTGAATCTAAGGAAAGACAAATATAAAGTGTAGAAGCTGTTTTATTTAAAAGACAACTCCCGCATTAGAAATATATCTTGAGTCGCGGGAGACTTGACAAACATAGATGAAACGGACACAAAGAAAACCCAGGCTTAGACCAACAATTTTTGGATCACACAAAGTTTCGTCCCATGTCAGTGGATCAGTGGCGTGGCGACCGCTTAAACCACTACAGACCGTGAATAGAATATTTCATTTTGCAAATATGGGTAATATATGACAAGTGTTACAGTACATTGAAGCTCAACCATGCAGTCCGCAACCATGTAACCGTGCAGTCTTGTTAGTGTGTAAGAACTTAGTACTGGGAACACTATGTTTAACTGGACTGTTAGTGGAGTGGTTAGTGGTCCTGACTGGTAAGCCAGAGGTAGTGGGTTCGATTCCCACCCAGGATAAATAATTGTGTGATCAGCACAATGATTTGTTCTGTGTCTGGGTGTAATTTATCTATGACATGTATGTATTTCGAAATTTATAAGTATGTTTATCAACAGTCTGGTTACCGTAGTATAGGCTCTGCCTAATTTGAAACCAGACGGCCGTGTGGGAGATGTGTAAAGCTATTATTATAATAAATATATTATATATATAATTTGTTGTGTCTGGGTATTACTTATCTATGAAATAATATCTTTGGGATCAGACGGCTGTACTAAGATATCATTATTATATTTTTATTACTTTTAAAGAAGATAAACACACCAGTTCATGTTGTGACAGTGGCAGCGGTTGACAGCAGACTGGACAGTTGCTGACGGGGCTCTCTTCCATCATCACCACATCTTCACATGATGCATTGTCTACCTGATCCTGGAATCCATATTGAAAAAGCTATTTTATAACATGACTTTTAAAGAAGTATTGTGATAAGCTCTATTCGTCATCATTTAATTTTTCACCCTTAACCTCTCATATGCTGCTACACTGTACAGTGTTTACACCCCTCTGATATGCCACCGCATATCAGAAGGGTGGCATGTGAAGCAGAACCTTATATTCAAATTTAGATTGTTTTTTTATTTTAATTTATTGGACGAGTTTAACAAGTCCAATAGAATAATCTTTATTCAAAAAGGTTCACAAATAAACTACAAAAAATCTGTTGAATTGGTAACCCCTTCAACAGATTTTCCCTTCGTCTTTGCACTTGGTTAAAAATGGGAGATGTACTGATGATACTTTAGTATCCAGTTCCATATAGTACTGGCTTATTATAATAGGGTGTATAAAAGTAGTAAATTTAATTTGCAGCAGACACTTAATATGTAATCACTACTGTGTCATCAACAAAACATCACAAATACTGTACTAATTAATGTTTTGGATTCCTTGATGGTTTTTAGTCAGCTCTCGATTGGCATTAACAGGAAAGATTGTTCACCCATCCTATAGGGATACTAAAATATCAATTTTATAGTATGAATACCACACTAGGGATGACCTATATTCGTTAAAGTTGGATGAATGTTGTGTTATGAAAAAAAAAATGATAAGAATTTTAGATAGTCCAACGTTAATGTTACATTGTCGAAACTAGTAACATGGATCAAAGTTCAAGGAAGTATTAAATATTTTTACAGAGTAGCGACTTCTTGCAGATACTACCAAAAGAGAATAAATTAAATGAATTTTTGCAGTGGGAGAGCCATACTTAGGCACGTATGGCTAAACCAGAGTGATATCACCTAATAATTAAATTATATTTAGAGTTAAAATTTGATGTAAAACACAGAAATACTCACTGATTTCTGAGGACTCAATATATCTCGATGTTCAACATTCACATGAATTTCAATTTCATTTGCATGAGCGAATTCCCTCTCGCAAATGGGGCACTGGTATGACGAGCTGTGTGGCCCTGGAGACATTGCCATCGTGCTTAGTGCCAATGTAGGGTTGTCTAGGGTCAGCGTAGGGTTCGTCAGACCCAGTGTTGGGTTCTCTGAATTAGCATTAGCATTTACAGAAGGCGATGTTAAATCGAAGTGTGCACGATTTATATGTTCCTCTAATTTCCTCGGACATGTTGACTTGAAATCGCACAGTAAACACTGAAATTTTATTAAAATTAATTAAGTTACAAACTTCGAATTCGAAATTTTATTTATCAAGTGTTTTTTTTTAAATTTGATGTTTTGGCGGGTAGAGCATAGACGGCCGACGGGTGGACTTTGTTATTGTTTTTCTATTTGACATTAACGACAACTTTGATAGTAATACAGTCAGTGTGCTTTGTGTAAAGGAATCATGTATCGACTAGTACGTATCGAGTTCAAAAAGCAAGTACCTGCACTGAAGGACTGGGTGTAGGAGCACTTTTCTTTGGTGTATTAGGTTTTAATTTTAAAGCTAATTGAGACCTAAGAGGCGATCCCTGCCCCGCACTAGCCATAGACAACTGAAACAATATTTATAAAATAATAATTCGTAATATTTAAATACAAATTAATTCGCGTAAGGTATGTAAATTATTATCTAGCTTCACCTTATTTTTATTCGGTGATCCTTCATAACTACCAGAACTATTATGACTTGGACTGGAAAGCGCACCTGGAAAGAAACCATAAATTTATATTATAACTCTCTAAGTAACTTTTAACAAATAAAACTATTGAAGTTAGCCAATGCTAAAATAATTGCAACTACCTTTTCTATCAATGCCATTCATCTCCTCGTGACAATTTTCTCTACTTTGAGCCTTTTTAGGAACCACGCCATTACTAATATTAATATTTTTTATACCATTGACAAGATTTATATTTTTTGGTGAGCGCGAACACTTTTCGTCGTCTTTCTCGTTTCGGCTGTAACTTTCCTTCTCTTGGTATCCATTGTAATAATTGATGTTCTTGGATATGGCTCCATTATGGTACTGAGATGAATTGTCAGGACTGTGCCAACCATTTATCGAGCCTGGCGTGTTGTAGCTGCAACTGTCTGTGGTTGTCATCTTTGAATCATCATCGAAACTGGCATGTGCAAAAGAGATTTGTGTCGATTATTGTTTTACGGATTTCAAAAATGGGAAAAAAATATTCTGAATACGTTTACTCAAGTGCCTAGATAGTGTCCTACGATGTTTGCTAAATATGTAAAAAAAAAAAATTTTTCTTTCCGTTTCCGTTTTGGTAGTTCCTTAATCAGGTATTCAAATAATATCGTTAAGATTTTAACTACAGTATTTTGAATTAGATTTAATATTCAAAACATATTTGAGTCTTAAATCTGTTATTCGAACGAATTCGTTTTAATCCAAATAGAGCGCGATAAACTGCAATTTACTTTCAGATACTTTTCCAGATCGACTATAGTGGCACTATTTAAATTCCAAAGAGTGTGAATTGTTGGATGAACAAAACTTTATGGATTTCATTAATTTTATGAATTGGACGACATCTATTACCATATATTACCTAATTACTAAAATTACCTTGGGCTCTGATCATCAATAAACGCCATCAACTCCCTCTCAGGTGTGAGATAATGGAGATGTGCCTTTTGTACATGGCCGACCAGTTGCGGTTGTGGTACTGCACAGTCACAAAATGGACACTCGGGTCTACCAGCTACGTGAGCTTCTAATGTATGGGAGCGCATGCCTTCGTCCGTAAGACCTTCCGCCCCACAAAGCTCGCAGGTATAAGGAAATGGACTCGTGGACATTTTGCCTGAAATAATTCAATATACATATTAAGCACTTTAGCAGTAATAATCGATGCAGGTGGATGGAATTTTGTTCACGCCACTGTCCGGTTATAGACATAAACTATCTACTGACGTATTTAGGTACTTAGCGGCGGAGGCCCGGACAAAAAAACTGTGCTGAAGTCTACATAACTAAAATTTCTCTACAATGTTCTCCCGGAATTTTGAAGTCCTAATTAAGAAAAGCCTAATTACTTTTCTCATACTGAAAGCAAACACGTGGAACAGGGAAAAATAAAAAATAAATTGGGCGGATTTTAATCTCAACACTTTATTATCGACTAAAAATTATTTGTGTGTATTTCGAGGGTATATTAAGGTGGAAATCTAGACGAGGAGGCGGAAAATCAAGTACCTATTAGGGTCTGGTGTTGGTACTTGACGATTAGTAAGTCACCCAGGTCTGTCAGGTCATCAGGTCAACTTTAAGAAGGCGTGTATTAGTTTTAATGAAAAGTAAAAAATAATGACCACTGAATACTATGATTGAATCTGATAGCACGAGAGACAACAATTATTAATATAACTTTCTATAATATAGGTATCCATACACCTAACGTTGTTGCAATTCTTCTTATAAAAAATTATGTCAGCATATTTTTTCATCTAATCAGCTTCAGCTACTCCTAGGTAAATGAATTTCCATTTATTTGAATAAATCAGAGTTTTATACAAATTAAAATCACATAATATATTGCTCATCTTTTAAAGTAGGTACTTATTATTGTAGGTACCTATCTCGCTTGTGACCTTAAACAAGTACGACGGTGAACGTAATAAAAATTGATTTATTTGAATGATGAGCTCGCATAGTAACCATTTACAATAAGTATATTGAGGTGAAAGTGTCAAATCGATAAAATTACCGCAGTTTTGTTTTCAAGGAAATCGCGGAAACGCCAATGACAAGGAAGTAAATTATCTAAAGAAATGAAACCTTTTTATTGATATGCGTTAATTTGAGGCCGAATAAATCATTGTGTAACGTTCATTATACCGAAAAAAAACATTAAAATATGAAGAAATGTACTTACCGATTAATTTTGTATTTTATTGTCATAGAATAATCCAATTTCACTGTATTTTAAGGAGAACACTATCTAATTGGTACGATATCTTTATTGTATGTGATTGTTTCTAGCATTTTCTATCATTTAATTTACAAATTAAAATTAATACTACTGGCGATAGGTTGTGATTGCCCGTCATTCATGAATTTTTTGGGCATTGAAAAACAAGGAACACGATTACGCATGCGTACATTATGTGTTCGGCACTGACGTCTGTCTGCAATGGTATTTTTGATTAACCTACTTTTTTGTAGCTGACAAAATAATTCAATGAAATAAATAAATACTCGTTTTGTTCAATAAACATTTTTTTATGAATTCAAATTCACGAATGTAATCATTGGAAGTCAAACATACTACTACGCCATCTGTTTTAAGTTGCTTGAAAATACATAGGCACAGGAATAGACAAAATACGGTTTTTTTATTGAAGGTTAAGGATGCTTTTGTTTCTCTCAACAGTAAGATGTGTCGACGAAAGATGGAGTGTTGATCAAAGTATTTTGTGTACGTAGTGTATTTTGTTATTTTATTGGGTTACTAGAATGCTTGAAACGTGTGGTGGAGGTTTTATTATTAATGCTAAAACCACTCCAGACATGGCACAAAATCACAGTTAACTGTGATTTTTAAGTACGTAGGTTAGGGTTGCTAGCCTAACCTACCTAAGGTTAGACGCTATTTAACAGTAAATCCTAAACTAATCTAGTATTTTTTAATTATAATGTAGGGAATGGTAGCTAAATCATCATCATCATCAACAGCCCTTAACAGTCAACTACTGGACTTAGGCCTCTTCTTAGAAAGGAGGTTTTTAGCTATATATTGCAAAATAATTACTAGATTTACGGATAAATGGGTGAAGTAGGATCTTTATGCAACGTCTCAAAACAGCTCATTGGCAACAACGCGTGATAAAGTAGTAACCCTGACCTATGTACGAAAAAACGAACGATAAATCACCGGTCTTTCACCAATTCACTGTGACCATGCCTACTCCAGGCTTTTTGGTTCCATGATTTTTTTATTGAAATGGACGAATAGTATCTGAAAATATGAAACCGTAGTCAGTAAAGAATATTGAGTTATTAAAAGTTACTTTAGATCTTCATTTGTAAAAATAATACGTTGAAGATTTATCTTAATTGAATGCTTATTCTTTTTTTCATTATTATTAAAATTGGCGTTTTAATACCTATTTTTAATGATCGTTTAGTGCAAACGTAGTTCACAGCACTGTAAAGATGGCACACCTTAATATATTTGTAGGGATCAATAGACCAAACCTTAAAAATTAGGACACTTTGTGAAAGGGGCACCAAAGATGATTATGCATGTAAGTGACGAACGGAAACTATTGTAAGGATTCTTATATAATGGAGTCAGACTGCCACTTATTTCGTTCCTCAAAAACCCAGAATAAGGAAAGTATTGATACATCTATAAACAAACAATGAGTTATTCGGTTAATACGTGAAAACATTGACGATTTCATAGATTATAAACTCAGACAGGGGTTTTGGTTAGTTTCGTTTCTGTGCCGTCTACAACCCAAGGAGGGTATGTAATCGTCTTGGGGTAGACAAAAACGGATAGCTGGTCTGTTTTTAGTGAAATCTATTTTTTTTCATTATGTTCATTGTGACATAATGAACATAATGAAAAAAAAATAGATTTCACTAAAAACAAACCAGTCTACGTATATAAAATAACAATAATGTTTCGGACATCTGACACACAATGCCATCTACTTTCAAACTAAGCAGAGCTTGTACTATGAAAGCTAGATCGACTGATAGAATACTTTTATACTTTTTTTTTGTAAATAAGTATATATTTTACAACAAACAACAACAAACTCCGAAACAAATATTTGCATATCATACAAACATTTGGCACCACCGAGTCAAGCATATTCATTGGTCTGTAATAGTCTGTATCATGTGAAATCAATTTTTTTCTTTAAAAATTATTTCAAACTTAATTCTGAAGAAACAAAGCTACGTTGAACAGTCCGGTTTTAAGGTCAACATTTTACTTTAACTAGATGAAACCACAGTTGTGTAATTGTACACCATCAAGGGAATACGACTAAAGATATTATGTCCCACGATAATGAAACGCCGGACTGCCACAGATATAAAAGTAATATTCTGTGTGTTGTGTATTGCTATCTACCGGGTTCACTTGACACGATTACATACTAAATTAATTTAAAAATAAAAATGCAAAAAAAAAAAAATTGGCGGGAAAAATTGCCACCATTACCTACTCAGTGGCTTATGCAAAATAGCTCTTGTCATTCAAATAAAATAAAATATTGTCGCATTTTTATCTTGATGAGGGGTAGTCGACCCGATGACTATTTAAATGTAGATAGCATTGTTGAAATACTAGAATTTATTTTTTCTTCCGAACTTTGGAGTGTTAAATATTTCAACAAGTTTTTGTGTGGTAGCCGTAACAGTTTGGGGCTGTTATTTTCATTTTGTTTATTTATTAAACTACTGGATTTTTCCCGCGGCTCTGCCCGCGTATATGTCGATTGTCAAGGTAAAACGTAGCCTATGTACTTCTTCAAGAATAAAACTATCTTCATACTAAATTTCCACCAAAATCGGTTCAGCAGTTTTTGATTCCCGAAACAAACTTCCACCCCGCTTTTCACCCCCTTAAAGAATGATTTCTGGGATAAAACTTTTCCAATGTCCTTTCTCGGGACCAAATTATGTCTATAACAAATTTCATTTAAGTGGGTTCAGTGGTGTAATCGTGAAGAGGTGAATAGGTGACAGACAGACAGATAGACAGACAGAGACACACTTTCGCATTTATAATTTATTAGAATAGATTGCTAAAGCAGCAAGGAGTTAAAAAATGTTACATTCATAAGTCGGTTACAACTAGCAATGTGTTTCTTTCGCGTGTTACATATTTATCATCTTATTGACGTATGATCATTATTAAGAGATTCAGTTTTTTTTAAACCAATGAAGTATTTAAGTATCTTAGGTACTGGTTGTGGTAATTATTATGTTGCGTAAGGTACTGTTAAGTAAGGTGTGGTGACGGATTAAGAATACAGTGTCACCACCCCTATTTATCCCGTGGGTGTCGTAAGAGGCGACTAAGGGAGCAAACTACGCAGGATAATAGCACTGCAGAGAGAAGGACACAAACCCTATTCCAACCCGTCTAGCCAGCGTGGTATAGTAGGCCAAAACCTCCTTTCTAAGGAGAGGCCTATGTCCAGCAGTGGACTAGTAAAGGCTGTTGATGTGATGTGTGATGTGAAGGTAGTTTCGAAACATTTTTTAAATGAAGTCTAACAAGAAAATTTAGCAAGATTTAGACGCTAAAGATTTTTGAACTTTTATTAATTTTTATTCCAGATTCATTATTATTTACGGTACATACTTATAAATTATTGTTAATTATAAGGGATTCGTGACGTACGCACCTACGGAGGTTACAGATGGCTCTGATAGCTCTTTTCAATAATTAAAATATTATTATAGATATTGCATTGTAATCTTAGATGCAACTGTCCCTTACCATGCCGTGGCAACTTGTAAGTAAGACAACACTCAGAATATATTTGTAAAACATGTTTGTAAATTATGTATTAGTGTATGTTTTGTAAGTTGTCCTAAATAAATAAATAAAAAAAAATATTCACTTTTTTTCAAATTGAAATAGGACTTAACGTTAAGTAAGTACAGCTAATACGCTTTTAAATAAACAACGAGTTTTCCAAATCTGTTTGTGAGTGACGGAGTTCTGCGAAAAAACCCAATAAAGCTGAAAAGAAAACCTCTTCTTTTTTTAAGTCTGTTAATAAAATACAGTATATCCGATCAGACACTGTGCAAATAATTAAAAACAAAT